GGAGGGGGGGGGGTTGAATTGAATGATCAATTATTAGACCCGGACGCGCCAACACTTGCTTCGCAAGACAAACTCAAGGTATCCCCTAAAGGGCTACCTTTCGTGATAAATCAAACATGCTGGTCCAAGTAAGCCACCGTCTCCGTCTCCGCATTCGCGTCCCACTATGTCCCAGCCGAAACGGCTCAGACTGCCCAACCTTGACTTCGACGAAAAGAGGTTCACTGAAGATCATGTGAACGTCTCTGGCTACCTCCGGATTCCAAGCTAGTCACGGGTCACGGGTCACCGAATCGCACCAAATTCTTGCCGTACCCTGACAATGGGAACTCAGAGGCTGAACTCATTTGCTGGAACACAGCTCAGCAGCTCTCTGTTTGCAGCAACAAAAGGGAAAAGGAGTGGATGATAATGGAATGGATGTCACTACGGATGTCATATCCAACACTCTGCCAACTTCGATGCATGCTTTAAGACAGAAAGGAAGACCCTCCCGAATGATTCTTGACCCATTGAACAACGGATGATTGAACCCCAAAAAACTCTCCAAAGGGCCTGGGGCCCCCAGTTCGCTGACCGCTGACCCTGCGCGGCTCTGGAGCCGCACATCCTCTCGCCTTTGCGGGGCTGATCGACGATGACTTCCGCACCCATGGTGTCTGCCACGTACTCGATGGGAGCTTGCTGCTCCTAAGCTGCGCCATGGTTTCGGGTCCGCCCTCAGGTCGGTGAGCTGATCCAGCTAGAAGTTGGCCCCTTACATCCTCTTACGAACCGGCTGTATTGATTCTTACCATTTCGAAGGAATGGTGCGGCCGATACTTTGGCTGCGTCCACAAATCAAGCGAGCTGACAGGCTTAAATGGGCTTTGCATATGCTGTCTACTGCATGCTAAGCTCGCATAAGCTCGCTAGTCAAGTCAAAGCTGAGTTCGGACCAGCGTCAGTGACACAGCAGTGAAACTGAGTCTCGTCCTCACGCAGATGCAAAAGGAATGTCAATGGACTCAATGGAGGGGAGAGCGTCCTCCCTTTGAACAAAGAGGAAAAACCGACTGGGCTCGAAAAGAAATGTTTTCGAAACACACGCACTGCGCCGTTTCGTTGGCCAAAGCTGACCGTTGACCCACACGCCATGTATCACATGTTTTGCCGTAAGGTGGGAGGCACGATGGTGCAATTTCGTGTGTGCATAGTCCATATATCTGTGGAATTTTCGCGTCTTGATGCTGCCGGGCTCTGCAGCTTTGTGATTTCTGCGGTGCAAGGGGTGCTTGCACCAACCATTATGCCAAGCTCCCCGCTCGAATTTGGTCACACAAGCAGTTGCTTCTTTCCATTCTGCTATATAACTTGTTATCTTGGGGTCTGTGCAATCTAGTGCGGTCAGCCTCCACTTGCCGAAGCCGGCCCCGCCTTGAGCTGTGTCCATGGGCTTATTCCTTGGCGCACTGTGACGCAACATCGGGAGGCTCTTCAGATGAATTACGCCGGCGTAGACCCCACATAGCAAAACAAAACCGCTGCCCAGAGCAGCACCCTGCAGCGCCAGCATCCAAGCTCCAAAGCGCACGCGTCCATTTCTACATCTAGCACAAGCAAACAGGCTCCAATGTGCACACGGCCATAAATATCTGGCAGCGGCACCCTGCAGCGGCACCCGCGCCCAGGCTCCACAGCAAATACAGGCACCTTGTCCTAAACTTTAAGAACCCCAGCAGCTCTCGCTATCTGGGGATATCTGGGGGAAAGAGCCATGATCCAAATGCTCGGAATCAATATGAATCCAGGAATCCATGGAGAATCGACTCATGTGACTCATGTGTCCAGTGAAAATGAGCGAAACGACACCCACGTCCCGCTCTCGCAGGTCCGCTCGCTGCTCCGCCACGTCGCGGTCGTCTTTCAGAGCTGCCACACTTTCAATCGGCATAGAGACATACTCGTCGTTCAGGTTGTCTGCACTAACTTGTGCACAAAGCTGGCCGCGGCGCTGGGAACTGGGGGAAGCTAGGGTAGCCACCTGACCTCGCCATACATCATGCTTCATCATGACATACACTCACACCTGTGGATGGCACATTTCTTCTCCACTCCGAATGACTCAAGAATGTGACCATTCATGAGTTGGGACCCAAAGTAAATACGATGCCAAAACCGGTCCGACTAGATTCGACCCAACATTTTGAGAGCCCAACTACTCATATATCTCAAACAAAGGCTCTACGCACGCACAGAACCATTGTCCCCACAGCGACGTAGCACTTTCTACAGCAAGAAGCTGCTGCACGTACGATCACAATACACAGCAATACACTAACTAAACGCCCTGGTAATTTCCAGCGAGTGGAGCAAACGAATGCAAATTATGATTTTTTTTGCCCCTCCTTCGATGTCATGTGCCGTTGAATGAATGTCATTCATTCCATGTAATTCATTGAATGTCATGAATGTCTGTCATTCAATGTCATTCCACGCCTGTTGGTTCTGTGGAGAAGCTTCAGATTCGTGGAGAAAACTTCTGACAGCCTCATATACCCAGTCCTTTGCATCGTGGTCCGCTGGCTTTGGAATCGGTCGTTCGCTGTTGCTGCATTAGGGCCTATGCCCAAGAGGGAAAAGAACCTCCCCCATTGAAATCCAAATCCATCTGGAACATCTTCCATCTTCCCCTGAATACCACTTGAAATCCACTTGAAATCCATTGATTTCACCTAATTTCACCATCTTCCCCTGCCCCTCTCGCACCTCGAACTTCGAGGACGGCTCTACGAGCTCCGCGCAGGGTGCGAGCACGGCTCCCATGGCGCTCCGTTCTTCCTGGTCGCTCGAGCCCTTGGCCAACAGACGCGCGGAGAGGGGTGGCCGGCCAAAACCGGTGAAAACAACTCTACCCAAACTAAGATGGATCTCCAACGGGTGGAAGAAAGATGTTCCTGCTCTTCCATAGATCCTCCCCGGGCGTGCCTACCACTTGGCTGCCTTTCTCCTTCCTCACTGCTGCTGGTTCTCCCGTCAGCAGTGACTCGTCGCCTAAATGCTCGTGAGCGCATGTGACGATCAAAATGCGTGTCTGGCCATCTTGCGTTGTGCTGGCACGGCACCAGAAGCGAAAGAAAGAAACATCCCAAGAAACAACAACGACATCAAACTCATGCCAATTATATACTGTACTTGAAACACGCTGAATCCTCGTTCCGCATTGAGGCATCCGCAGTAGGCAGTGCCGTCTGTGATGACTTCCTGAGACCCCGTCTGTAGACGCTGGGAACCGACGTTCACCTGGTTCACCGTTCTCAACCACCTCACACGGCCTCTTGGCATCCCAAGAGAAGCCTGAACACGCCCAAGTAAAATGCGCACAATACAATCTATATAACTAAATCCAACACATGGTACAATAGTTCCTACAATTATAACTGAAGGTGTTTCCAAGGGGCGCCATCGACTGGCACTTGCTCTCCAGGAAGCACTCGTAAAAAGTCTCCGATCTGGATCAGGTCGTAGTCTCAGTTCTTTCTCTAAAGCCCAGGAGGTCACCGACCTAATGAATAAGACTACGTACGCTCCTAGGCACTGGACGCAGCCCCTAGGCACTCGCGATCATTCCCTTCGATTTGAGGGAACGTTCCGAAAGCTTCCGATCACGGCAGCGTGACGAATATGAACAAAAAGATGCACCGGTTGTGCAGAAGCATTCGTCACTGAACATTTGCTACTTGCCAAGGGACGTATGCTTCTCTCTGGGCCATCAGGGTCTTCTAGGAGGCGTGCAAAGTGGGGCCTCACAGTGATCAAAGGGACTCACAGTGATCATCGGACGTACGCGGCTCGATCTAGAGACTTTGCGGACTGGTGGAGGGAACCTCTTCGTTTGAGAACACCAGAATTGCAAAACAATTTATGTGTTTTTTTCTTTTCACTGTTCCTTTGAGCACATCACTTCAACACCTGCAACGCTCCTCGCTGACGCAAGTCACACACACGGTCACTCTTGCTCAGTGGCAACTTTTTAGCAGGATTCTGATATCTTTTGATTATAACTGTATATAATATGTTATATACATAACATATATGATCATGTATATGTATACGAAAATATGTTTAGACAAAAATACCTCGGAATCTTGAGAGTTAAGCCCAGCTTCTTGAAGCTTTGATTGAACCCGTCACACTCGGCAGATGTTCTTCAGTGTGGCGAGCGCTCCCGCCCGCGCACCAGCCACTGACTCAACCCACTACCTTACCCACCGGCCTTTTCGCAGAGATCTCATGTACAGCTCGGGTGGTTTGTGTCTTGGCGAAGGTCTCCAGAAAACGGCCACCGAGGAGGACCTGGTCGAAGCACCCGGCCATCCATGTTGCAAAAGCACACATCCAAATGCGTGAAGCGAGCGTTGAGCCAAATCCCTAAGTTGTCCAGCCTAAATACACACACACATCCAAATGCGTGAAGCGAGCGTTGAGCCAAATCCCTAAGTTGTCCAGCCAAAATACACGCACAAATGTGTATACAGTATAATTTAGAATATACATTGTTACATTATATATATACACGGTATTTACTAAATATATATATATATACCTGACTGTATATACAGTATAGACATTGGGTATATATCCCATTACCAGTAACAGTGGATGATGATGATGATGATGATGATGATGATGATGATGATGTTGATGATGATGATGAGCAAGGGCCTTTCTCAAAAGTGATGATCCTTTACCGATTGTTACTGGTAATGTATACACACGTTCCAAATGAAAGCTCATAAAATATCATAATAAGGCTTCATCTTTCAGAGGAACGGGATCTACTGGGGCCCTGTCTTCGATCTCCACATTTGGGTCATGTGCAGGCTCAGCTCATGGGTCATGTGCATTGGAGAGTGCATGTAACATTATGTAACTCCTACACACTTACCATGTCTTACAGAACAGTGAATTGCATGTGGATCTCGAACATGTATGCTGTGAGCTCTGACAAAGAGATCAAGTCACAGTTCAAGCTCTCAAACATCAAATAGCTCGGGCATCCGCGGCGTTCTTTTTCTTCCACCCCTCGGTCGTCACCACCCGTCGTCACCCCCCGAAAATCCGCCCAAGTCGCTGTGATCAGGACCGCGCTGGTCTCACCTGAAGAGGTGTGTCCGCATGACGTTCAATGGAACCGGAGAACCACTGAGAACCACTCAATTGTAGAGGAAAACAGTCTTCCAAAGGTCCATGCCGTCCATGCCATCAGGTTCCGTTTTGGTCCTTTTGGGTGTACGCTAAGCAGGCCAAGTGCATTCGTCTTCCACCGACAAGATCTGTTCAACATGGAAATGGCCTGTTGGACATGACCCCCGAAAAAGGATGACCAAACAGGTGGTGCCATCCAATGTCCATGTTCATCCATCCTGTTTCCGCTGCCAGCAAGAACCTCCATGCACCAAGCTCACACAATACCACATGTGACTACTTGACTTACTTGACCACATTGAAGACTCCCGTGCACATATCCCTAACCACACCGACTACTTGAAGAACTTTGAAGTATTTCACGTCGACGACATCGGAGCGCCCACTCCCTTAGCGTTCTGGGGAACCACCCTCTCGTCGTCTTTTCGGCCCAGCCGGCAGGTGCCAAATAAAGCTCAGGCTGCGGCAAAACATCGCAGACAAGCGCAAACTGAAGCGATGGACATCCATTACACAATCGTACAGGCCACCCAAAGTGCCATAGAGGAAGGACACCTAGGATGCCAAAGGCACCCCTACATGCATACAACTCCGGCCAAAAAATATTCAACAGAAAGCAACCACCAGCAAATAACAAACCAAAGAAAGAATCAGACCGCTCTGAAGTTGAGGCTACTGACATCCTCTCAAAAACCGAACGCGCCAAGGATCTCCCACCCAATAACCTGGCAAAGGCACTGTGGTTGACAAGGACACCAAGGTATTCATGGTCGATGCCTGGACCATCCGAATCAATGGGAAATTCTGGGCGGTGGCGGATAAATCAAAAGGTCAAAAGGTGGGACGTGCAGACTTGGTCAAAAGATCAATAAAGGACCAGTTACGGTCCAACATCGGCCCGAAGACACTGTAAGTGCTCGCGTTAACGCTCCAGTTACGCCAAAACACTCCCATCACAACAATATAACGACAGTATTACACATATATTTATATATATATATATATCAATCCCGCAAGCTGCGATTTGCAACATGAGAAAAAAAAAGGACCCGTCTGCATGGCTTTTGAGATGTCTGTGAAACATGGCTTCATTGGCTTGGCCTTCATGCTGGATGGCATGGGTTCAAATGGTGAAACTGGTGCAAAACGAGCCAGGCCATTACCCAAGGCTCGTTGCAAAATGGGCAAATCCGATATTGGATCCCCAGCGATTCAACGATCAACTACACCGGAGTCACAGAAGGTTTCACCTTTCCCTTCTCTTGCTCATGCTCCATGTCTACCTCAGCCATGCCCCCCAATCACCCACAAGACTGCTTCGGCAAAGAAGAGGAAAGAACATTGAAAATGATTTTCGGATTCCAACCTGCTGCATGGGCACAACCCAAACAACATGGACCACTGGATTCTTGATAGCCTGGCATCTCAAAGAGTGACCCGCAGTCACGGCAAGGGGAAAAAAACGTTGAAGTCTTGAAATTCTGGGCCCATCGATGATTGACATCCCTTGATCTCATCTGATCGTCAAATCTCCGATTCAAATCTCTCGCTGAGAAAACTCTCGCTAAGTTGCCATCTCCTCTCCAACAGCCGCTTCCAGGACTTTCATCGCATTCTGCACTGATGCATCTGCCAGCTCTTGCCCAACTGCCACCTCCAAAGCATGAGGCTTCACCACGCCGTCCTGCCAGGACGGGCGACGTGGCGACGGGGTCTGAGTCGTATCGCACACGTCGACGTGGTCTGTGCCGGGAAACATGTGAGAAACATGATACAGAGCAGCTTGGCAGCTTGTAGAGGCCCTGAAAGGGGCGGGGCGGCAACCTCATATGTAAACATATATATAACTATATGAAATAGCGCGCACACACACACACACACATTCACAGTCGCTACATGTCGCTACCTAATAAACTATACTTAAACTATTGAGGGGGGACTTAAAACGTGTAAGTTGCATTTTCCCTAGGGGGGGGTGGTTTGACACGTCGGAATTGTAAGCTTACATCTTTTGAAAATTGGCGTACAAAATGCAAGCTTACAATTTTGAACATCGACGTAGAAAATGTAAACTTTACAGTTATCATATACTGTATACTATCGTTGTGTCACGTTTCTTCCAGTGTTTCTTCTATAGTACGTGAGCACCAAATATACACATTTCTTTCCAGGAAGCACTGAACATGTAAGTTACCATGTGCCAACAGGGTACTTCTTTACCACTCCCTCCCCTGAACTCTGGGCACTCACCGGTGAATCCTTGGGGAAGCCGTGCAAAAGTAGAGGGGGTCCAACTTACATTCTTTAAGGTCCCGCAAAAACAAGGTAAGGGGGTTTAGCAGAAATGAATTAAGTGCAATAGTTATAAGGGAGCGGGACTTTAGTCTTAAGCCGCCCGGGTAGAGAAGACTAGATCAGGGACAACAGGCACCGACGCACAAGTGTGCCGAGTACCATTTCGGCGAGAACTGTATGGTTGAACAATGTTTGCAATCTGACACACAAGCGGTGGGAAAAAAAACAGGGTTTGGGGGACGTATCATGAACCACCATGGAATCAAAACAGAAGGATTGGAACAGCGTACTCAACCGTTGAAGCAGGTACAGGTGGATGATCA